TTGATGTTTTTTTATTTTATCATGTAGATTAATATACAAAAAAATTATCTTATTCATATTAAAAAGTTGAAGAAAAAATAATAATGAGTGTGAATTGTAAAAATAATGAGATGAAAAAAATAATTTATAAACTATAGTTATCAAATAAAAGTTGTAAGAATAATATTAATCACATTAAAAATATTTCATTTGTAGAGTAATTGGTTGGGTGGTAGCTAGAGTTTGAAGAAAATGAGAATAGTTGGAACTTGGAAGAAATTAGAAGGATATGGAAAAACTAGAAGAAACTGGAGGAAACTGAAAGGAACTGGAATATATTTGAAGAAATTCAAAGAAACTGGAAAAACTGGAAGTTAAGAGTTTAAGCTCTAAAGAACAATCTCTCAATCTATGACTTCATCACCGACATTTAACCGATTCGAGAAAAAAAGATGTCTGTCAACGGTACCTGTCACGGTGCCTCTGCACCAGTGAACACTACCTAGGTACGGGATACCTTGCAGTACAGCGACTGGCAGCACTGAATGGACTGTGGCAGAAGCTGGCTACCTTCCATCTGATAGTGGAGTATCGACCGGAAGTAGTGACTGATAGAGCCGAATGAACTATGGCGATAGCTCGGTACCAACCTATTGTCTGACGAATGAGACTTGGTGCAGCGCGGTTTTCAGCGTCCAGCGCCGTTTCCAAGTCCCAAATCCAATATCAAACAACAACATATGATAGGCATATCACGTAAAACATGTTCAATAATCATTCAATGCTTAAAACCATGCTTCTACCCATTTTGATCCCATGAACCTCAAGATATGATTCATACAGGCTTCATGTAATTTAATCAACAAAACAATTACAAACATAGATTTCAAACCTAAACAAATACTCTAATGTTAGGGTTCTTGATAGGCGTGTCATAGCACCTACAAATTAATCTATTATTTTCATTAGCTGTTAACCCCCTTTATGAATTAATATTTATTAAAACATATAGATAGGGCAAGTAAGGATCGATCAAGTAAGGATCGATCCCACGAGGAAAGATACTTTTTAGACTATGAAAATCAGCTCATTTGTCACTTTTATTGAATAAAAACTAACCAAAATCTAAAAACTAAAACTAATTGATATGGGGGTTTGAATGATGATTATAAAAAGATAAAAATGCAAATAAAATAAAGATAAAGAATAACAGACAAGAGACGGAACAACCACGGCCACTCGAAACTCAGAAGTAACACTCAGGGAGAAAACAAACACACAAACAACCACACAAACAAACACACATTTAAACTTTATAAAAATGTAAATAATAATAATTAACTTAAACCATTTTAAAAATACTTATAGTTTTTAATAGAAAATAAACTAAACAAGTCCGATTAACTAATTAATTATGCCTTGATTCTGAAATTAAACTGCTAATTAAACTCGGAGTTATGCTGAAGAAGAGCTCCACCAACCGTTCTTCCTTATTTTCCCATATTAGCGCATGTTAGGACCAACCCTAACTCTAAACCCTACTACCCTTAGCAACTCAAAGACCAACCCTAAAGTTACTACTAAGAATAGCGCATTAAGATTTGTGGAAAACATCAGAATAATAACTTTGCAATAACACTACGGTTATTTAACAAAATTAGTTCGAGAACCTTGATTAGCAAAAATCACTTAACGAGGCAGCGTAGACTAATCAATTGACACTTAGTTTCTAGAAAAGTTTGGCTATTAAAAGCACTTTGGACTTTGAAAGAATATCATTCTAAACTGGATTAGGTCGTGATCCTAATTTGGTCCAATTTACGTGAAATCTGGTAAATAATATTCCCTCCGTCCTAGAGTATTTGTCCTATTTCTTTTTTACACACCATCTAATACACTTCTTTAATCCATTTTATCTTGTAATTTGTATATTAAAAAATTATAGAAATTATATATTAATAATCTACCCCCTTCGTCTACATTTAACGTTCCCGTTTTGACCGGGCACGGAGTTTAATAAAAGTTAAAATTTACGTTGACTTTCCCAAAATACCCCTCAACCTTACCCACAACCCCCACTGTTCCTGGCCAAGTCTTGCAGCCCCCATCCCATCGTCCAGAGAAATTCCGGCAACTCAAAACCTGCGAAATCCAGCCAGTGAGAAATTCCGGCCGTCGAGTCCGGCGAATTTCCGACTCAAGCCCTGCGAAGAGTATGAAGAAGATGACAAAGATTTGAATCGAATTTCTTCATCCACATTCGGATGAATCTAATTCACAGACCTGAATTCTATTTTTCCAGATCTGACGCACAAGAAGTAGAAGAAGAAGAATAGAAACGCCAAATCAGAAAGGGGGAAGAAGAGGAAGAAGAAAAAGAAGAAGAAGAAGAATAGAAAGGGAAAATCGAAATGGGGGGAAGAAGAAGAAGAAGAATCAGAAGGAAATGAAAAAGATGAAGAAAATAAGGGGGAAAAGAAGGAAAAATATGAAGAAGAAGAAGAAAGAAAGAAAACGAAAAAATCAGGTGGAAGAAAAAAAGAGATAGAAAGAAGAAGAACCAGAAAACAGATATAGAAGGGAAGAAGAAGAACGGAATAGAAGGGAAAAAAGAAAGGAAAAAAGGAGAGAAGAAAGGGAAGAAGAGAAGAAAAGTAAAAAATAAAAAAGGGTATTTAAGTCTTTTTGATGAAAAAAGTTACCAAAAAGGAAATGAAAACTTTAATTATGGGTATCCAAAAAAGGAAAGTGGGAACTTTAATTATGGACGGAGGGAGTATATGTTAAAGACAAATCAAACAAGATCACACATGACTATATTTAGGCTTACACATTTAGAGAATTTGATGAGTTAAAGTGCTTAAATGAACAGTTCCAAAAGTCAAAAGTGGACGAATATAGCGGGACGGAGAGAGTAGTTCTTAGAACACCTTTTCGAGTTTAGATTTAACAGTAGCATACAGCTTAAATCTCTTCAAAGTCAAATTAATTCAACAAACAAAGGTTCTATCTTTTTAACCAAACAATTTAGCCTAAGAAGGTTTTATGATTTCAGAGACAATAATAAATCAATAAATCAAAACTTGAACAGTTCAACATCAACACACAAATAATTCATCACTTATAATACAACTTAAACCTTCAACATAAAAACAAGATTTGAAAAAACATAATTCAAACATATTTAATATAGAAATCAAATTCATCCATTGGAAAGTCAACATGAAATCCTACAGAGAACTAGAATTTTAAAAAATTGAGATTAAGGAAAAAGTTGCTCCCTGAGTTTCCTTCTTCGTACGGTTCATAGAAGCCGGGACCACATGCCGACCTTGAGCCGCTAGTCGTCGCCGTCTTTACCGTTGCCTTCGCCGGAATCCAGTTGCCGTCGTCTTGCCAGGCCTGACCTATGGTCGGAACCCTAGGTCGGCTCCTCTACTCTCTGCCGCCCGTGTCTCTCTCTCTGTTCTCCGTCCTTTCTTCTTTTTTTTTGTTGATTTGCTCTCTTTATATTTGTTTAACAAATAGATTTCATTTGGGTCATGTTTTGAATTTCAAAGTCAACTTTATAATCTTCCTCAACTTTTTGTGTTCCAAAATATATCTAAAAAACATCTGTCATGGAAAATAATATGTTCAAATTAATTCTCAAATATAAACATGTTCAAATTCATGTTAAATGTGTTAAAATAAGAATATTTATGTAAAAAATGCATATAAAGTGCCTTAAAAATACTAAGAAATGAGAGAATAAAATTTGATATTTTATGACTTAACAAATGCCCCACACTTAGACTTTTGCACACCCTCGTGCAAACTAGATATCAACAAACTTTTTTTCCTTTTTTGGTTGAAATTAGAACTCAAAACAATTTCTCAATCTTATAATAATATAAGATGATGCATGAAACATTAACCAAAAATTAACCATGTACCAAATAGAATAAGCACTTTAAAAATCAATATAATTTGCTACTTTAAATTTATAATAATTCTTTCACTTCAAAGCTAAGTAGAAATTATTTTTATTTGATGTCAAAACTTTGAATTAACTAAGGTCATTGAGAACAATTCAAAAGAAATTAATAGAGCACTGAAAATTTGATTGGAAAATCCTAAGAAACAAGTAAAGAAAAGCTCAAGAAAATTTATTTTCATTTCTAAAATTTAGAAAATTTTATTTATTGCATGCTTTGATTCAATATTTAATTTTAATTGTTTGAGTTGACCCGTGTAGTGAATCTCAACCAGGCTACCCTAGGCCCATTCCAGATAGCTATGGACCTAAATAAACGAAGTATTTCAAGGGTTTCAACTTGAGTACTCAAACAATATTTTCATTCATTTTGTTATATTCTTTTTATTTTTACCTAGCCATTTATTGCACTTTTTCTTTCTTTTTTTGGCTCAATGGCGTCGGTTTTTATTTTTTTAAACTGGTTGTGGACGAGATTCGTATGGACCAAAACGGGTGATGGATACCCGGGAATGGGGGTATCCAGCCCAGCAGGAAGACGACCCAGCCCAACTTCGCCAAGGCCCACTTGGCGGAACCAGGACAAAGACTAGCGAAGATCGCCTCGGCAGTACGGCGCACTCGGCCCCGGCAGGGTTGGTCATCCTCGGAGCAACCGCGGCCGGCCTTTCATCCAGAGGCTTCCGAAGACAGGTCAGGCACTCGGCCTCGGCCATAAGCAGCGACAGACCAGACACAGACAAGGGAGCTGGCGTTGTCAGGATCAAGGGGCCCACGATTAGACTCCTGCCATGCCTCTGGTAGAGTTGCTATAGCCACCCTACTTGTAACCTACTTTGTATAGCAGTCCTAGGGATAATTATGTGGTTGGACGCCGCCAGTGAACAACCCAATCTTAGTGGGCCCAGACTGTTGGATTACGGATCAACGGTCGGAACCCTAGCTGTAACTTGTATATAAACCTCTTCCCTTCTAAGGGAAAGGGGGACTTACGTTCTAAGTATTATTCTTACTAGCACAATACCATTCTCGGTTTACTTGACCCCATATTTTCGTGCACTCATACTTAGTTCGATACTCTTCCGCCTAGTTACCTAGGCCCCCGGGTTCCATAACCCAACATTGGTGCTCTCATTGAGAGTGTCGAACACATCAAGCGTGCTCCAAAAAGAAAAATGGTTGCGTCAAGAAGAGTTACCAGGTCGTCTACCGCCAATCTCGGTGGTGGTCTCAGGATGACTGTAACGGCGCCGACCGGCGCAGGTCCCGATGAGCTGGACATCAGCCTCAACGATGTCGCCAGCCAAAACACCACTGACCTGCGTCACCGCATTCCCAGGCGACGAACGACGAACGTTGCGGGGTCTCAGGCGCCAACACAGCAGGTGCCCACCCAGGGCGCCGGTGTTTTAACTCAGCCTCCTCCCAACGGGCTGGTGCGTGGTGGAGGCATGGTGTTGCCCGGTGATTTCAACTCACCGTTCTTCCAGTTTGGGGAGACCTCCGGTGCGAGGACCCCAGGTCTAGACCCTAGCGGTTTTTGGGCCATGATGAGGGCGATGATGCTCCATCAACCCATGACCGGTTTCCACATGCCGATCACGATGCCGCAACCGGCGTTCCATCCTGATGGGCATCGTGAGGTCCAGCAGAACGTGGTGGAAAGTGCAGAGCTTTTCGCCCAACACCTGAAGAATCTAATGACGGACTCCCACCTGAATCCTTTGGCTGGGGGACCCGAAAACAAGGAGTTGAGCCGATCCCAACAGCGGGACAACGGCAAGGCCCCGGAGCGTAGGCCCAACAAGAAGCAAGCCAACCGTCGAGACAAGGAGACGGCGAGCAAACGCCGTGAACCCTTGAAGGAGGGGCAAGGTGAGAGTGAGTCCACTACGTCAAAAACAGAGGCTGACAACTGTTTATTTTAGTAGTCTATAATTGATGTTTTCAGTAGTCTTCCGAGCAGCTGTCTGATGGGATGTTAGACCTCGGTTTAGAACAATTGTGCAAATCAAAATCTGACAACGGTGTTTTGAAGCTTAACACAACTTTGAACATTTGTTGTCTGCTCGCGATTGAGTCTACGATTTTGGATATACTCAGACAACAGTTTTATTGTGTTGTATATAGAAGTTCAGACAACTACTTAAAAACAACTCTCTTAATTAGTTGTATATAGACTATTACGACAATGGTTTATTGTAGTTGAGATTGATGCGGTTACACTATGTTTTCCAGGTGTAGTCTAATGTTCTATTAGACAGCTGCTCGGAAGACTACTATAAGTAATTCCATCAAACCTCTGCTACCTTCTGTTGTATGTACAACGTTGAGACTATTTCTTTGGTCTTACCTTAAACAACTTTTTTTTTGGTTGTATGCCGTCTATTAACACTCCAGTTTATGTTCGTTGTGCTTTAAACATTGACACTATACTTCCAAACAGTAGTTGAATCTGCTACCAGACAGCTGCTCGGAAGACCACTATAAGTATTTCCTTCAAACAACTATTACGTTGGGTTGTATGCATAATGTTCAGACTATTATTTTGGTCTTATCTTAAACAACTATTTGTTTTAGTTGTACAACATCTATAAACAATATTGTTTTGGATCGTTGTCGTACCACCCATTCAAACAATATTTTGTGACAGTAGTCGAAATTCTTAATA